GAGCGGCCACCGCACTCCAGTCTGAGCGACAGAGTGAGACTCCAACTCAAAAAAAAAAAATGCATATCTGCCCTTACACGTTTAACCTTCAGTCACCTTCAGAGTACTCTCTCTTTGATGTATCATGCCTATCAAGACACCTGTTCCACTGCTCGAAACAGTTTTGGAACTTGTCAATTTTGATGCCTTTTAGTGCTTCTGCCATTTTTTGTTTCACCTCTTTCACACTGGCAAAACGTTTCCCTTTGAAGACTTATTTAATCCAGGGAAACAAACAAATATCTTGGGGGCAAGATCGGGTGAATAGGGAGGGTAGAGCACGGGAGTCATGTCGTTTCTGGTCAAAAACTGCCGAACACTCAACGCGGTGTGGGCAGGTGCTTTGTCAGGGTGGAACAACCTGTTTGCCACAACTTGGTATCACACAGCCTTCTCAAGACTTCAGACAAAAACTCGGGTTGATCCTTTGATCCGAAGGAACAAATTGTAAGTGTCCTACCAGGGATGTGCCCTCCAAATGATAATTATAGCTTTTTAGGGGGTCCCTCTTGTATTATAACCTTACAGCAAAATTGTCCTAAAATTAAAGGCCTTTTTGACCCCCCCAAAAAAACTCACTAAGTGAAGAGATAAATATAGTCGTAATTCCAATAAACAAATTCTCAAACTTCAAAAATTACCTAATCAAACTTGGCCCAGGTATTGAAATATATCAGTGAATTTAGTTTACTTAGTGTGTGTTTGTGGTGCAGGGAATGGGACAGAGAAAGATGAAGTGGCAGCAGCCAAGGCCCTTGAGCTCTTGGTTCTAAGTGGCAGGCTGAAGTTTCAGCCCACTTGTCAAGGAAGGTGCATCTTATTCCTTGACTTACGCACGGGATTGGGAAGAATACAACACAAAATTACAGAAACACACATACACAAAGGAGACATGCCTTATAGGTCTCAGCAAGAAGGAAATCCATGTTAGGGAACACTTCTACCTCAAGTGTAATGAAGTTTTTTATTTTGATCACCGTATGTTGGAATTAATCCTCTTCTTTAACAGAAGTATTGCAGTGTATCAATAAGGGTACCTGATGTCAAATCAGGTGAAGTGGGGACCAAAGTGAAGCCCAAACTTTGCCTGTACAATGACCCTTTGTATACCTTACCCTGAATTGTACCCCACATTTAAAAAAAAAAAAAGAAGAATTACGATTTATACCCTTTCCTTTCACACACGTGAGGTAGACAGGATATGTTCACTCTTTGGTGAGCTACCATGCCCAAGATTTTTCAAATGATGGAAGGAACCTGTTGTATCATGACTTTACTCAATGTACATTACTCAATGTAATAGGCTTTCCTTATATTCTGTATTGAATCATATCCAAAATGTAGCGAGCATAAACAATAAAGAACATAACATGGAAGTTCCTCAAAAAGATCACGTTCAAATTATCAGAATACTATAAGAAAGGGATTGCAGTAGTAGGAAACTGCCGGGGCGGGAGGGATTGGCAGCTGAGGGAAACTACCAGGGGAGGGAGGGGCACACCTTATCAACACGGGTACCTGCATAATGAACCTTTGCATACCTAACCCTGAATTGTCCCCTACATCTTTTTAAAAAAAGGGAAAAAAAGTCACGCTCAGATTTATCATCCCACATCTCTCTTGTCAGATGTGTTTTAGTTACCCAAATGGTTTTCATATTATGATGCTTCTCCTCCCCCCAAAAAAGAAAAAAATGGGAGGCAGTTCCATCTTATTAATAGCAAACTTTATAAAACTCAGAAGCAGAATGGTAGGAAGCTGGGGAAGAAAAAACCAGTAGCCCAAGGCCAAGAAAATGAAAGGTCTATTTCAGGAGGACCAGGGCTGATAGAACAAGCTTAACTAACCATAAATTATGGGGAAAATTAGCATTATCTCTTTAGGAGGATAAAATGTCAAAAGTCTCCTATTTGGTGGTTCTGTAACAGTGCTCTGTTTAGTCAGGGTAGAAAGGGCTCTTCTGAATCTGTGGGCTCTAGATTTCTAGTTAATGCATTCCTTGTTAAAGATTCAAAATGTTATATTCAAAAAGTGATTTAGAATACTTTCCCTGGTCTCATTCTGTTTTATTGATAGATGGATTTGTTACTATTTATTTGATGCTATCACGTGTTCTGTCAAGCTGGTTTAGATAGCTACTTTTCTTTCTTTCTAAAGGTACAAACTTTAGATTTCATTAGAGTGTTTCTACCACTAAGAGCAATCAAGCACCACTGTGAATTCTGAGTTGGTGGCCTTCCTAATCAATGGCATGTTTTTTTGGGGGGTGTTGCCTTTCTAGAGTGTCCTGCCATACTATGTAGCTACGAAACTGGCTAAAATCCGAAAGCCAACTTTGGATAAACCCTCTTCAGAGACGTTTGTGAAGTCTGCCATTAAAACAGTTGGCTTGCAATCCCGAACCCATGGATACCTGATCCATTCTCTTATGGTATGTAGATTTTTAAGTCCCAAGTCAGTACTTTCTGGCTTAGGGTTTTCTTTCCTATTGAGTCACAAAATAGTATGTGATATATTAGCATATGTACGTTGTCTAGACATACTAACAAGGCATCTATGTTTTATTTTAAATGCTCTTGAACTTAAAATCCACCTATAAATAAAACAGTATAATAAAATATAAACCGTATAATAACCTATAAATCATATGTAGCTCAAATTGTAAATTACAATTACATATCTCCTTACATATCTCCTCCCATTTTTCCCCCAGGGCTCAATACAATCAATCCTGCCTTCTTGGATCAATTTTAAAATGGCCATGGGTATCAATAAGTCGACACGAGCTCGCTATCTGAAGAAATACAAGAAGAACTAAGCATTGGTAACTGCATTGAGTAACTTGGCTGGGTGCTCCCGCCTATGCGTGTTTGCCACAGGGCACCCTCCAGGTCTCCAAAACACGCAGTTGTCATTTCTATAACTGTTAATATGGCTAGATGTTGTCTTAACTGGGAGGACAACAGAAGTTGCTTTTAGGACTTTCTTACATGTACTACCAGGAATAACTTTGAAGTTTAATAGGAATGCTCATATCAGATGAATAGAACCTATTACCAAGAACAACTAATAAAAAGGAACATAATCACAGCAAATCACAGAATAATAGAGTCAAGCATAAAATTCAACAGTTTTATCTGGACCAAAATACCACTGCTCGTTTATTCTTATATTTTATCTGAAACCAATTATAAAAGACAATTTCTGGTTACTTTTTTGGTTTTTAACACTTTGAAGAAAGAGAGATTTATTGATTCACTTATGGGAGGACACACTGCAGTTTACAAAGATCTCTATAAGTGTTTCTAGAAGTACGTTCCAGTTTGTACATTTATATGGAACTATTTTTTCCCAAAGGTAACTAATGACATAAAAAAATTGTGAAGTATAGTTATTTCTAACACACAACGCCCATTAAACTATGCTTTCTTATAATGCATATTTCTTCTCAGATTAAATGTCTGTAAATATTGAAAGCTATATGGTATGATCATAAAGGTACATGGGGCAGAATGTACATTGATACTGGCAGCCACTGAAAGCCTGACCCGGAACCATGACTTACTTGGGCCCGGCCTTCATTGTTTCCGCACTGAACCAATATTCTCACAAATGTGACACTGGCTATTCCTATAAACATGACGACATTAAAGAAATGGCATTATGCTTTTAAAGTTGGTACTGTATAGGTACTGGTGTAATTCATTTTAATAAAACGTGGTATAGCCATGGTAAATGTTTCTTTGGTGCTTTAAAGTAAGACCATATTTACACTGTCTTAATATTAGGTAAGACGAACTTTTTATCCTGCTGTGTAAGTTGTAGGGGAAATTGCCAAGAAAGAATTACTGTGCAATATACAACACGGAAGTTGGCCTTTACCTGGTCTGTGGCTCCCAGGTTCTGAGTTTTAAGCACCAGTAAATTTGTCCAAAAAATTTAATTGGACTGTTTAAGTGTTTCTGGCTTTTAATTTGCCAGCTAAGGACATAAAGCAAACACACACACAAATCACCATCTGCTATCATCATCATTACGTAAAAGAAAATATATGTAATATATTTCAGCCCCAAACTAGTAAGAACATAATCTCAAAATAAAGCATTGTCACTTAAATGGAATAAATATAGCTTTATGAAAAACACATTGTGTGCCCTTTCTTCCTCTCTCGTTTTGTTGTAAAAACGGTGATGCTGCATTGAATTGGGCAGTGTTTCATCTGCGTTCACACATTGGTTGGTTGTGTGGCGGTTGGTGTTGGTGGAAAGGTGGTGGATGGGGGAGGGATTGCTTTGCAAGAATACACAATGGTTGTTCTTTTATCCCACTCAGAAATTAGTTGTGATTCTGGAGCTCTAAGTACTGCATGTACTCGCTCATAAGCAGACCCTGGACATTGATCATGACACTATAAGAAAGAGACTGCAGTAATGGGACACTGCGGGGGGGGGGGGCAAATAACATCAATAAGGGCACCCAAACTTTGCCTGTACAGTGACCACTTGTATGTGTATCTAACCCTGAACTGTACCCCATGTCTTTCAAGTAAAAATAATGGTAAAAAATAAAAATAATAATACCACGGTGTTAAAAGAAAGAAATTAGTTGTAATTCTGACTAGAAAATCCCTTAGCAATTTCAAAACTTCTGAGCTTTGACTTTGATTGCTTCAACTTGGCAAATGTCCTCATATTTGATACTCAAGGATGACGATAATGACATGAAAATGTGTTTTTCCAGGCACGTGAAAAGAATAGTTATGTTAAAAGAGAAAACAATAGGCTGGGTGCAGTGGCTCAGCCTGTAATCCCAGCACTTTGGGAGCCAAGGCAAGAAGATAGCCTGAGCCCAGGGGTTCGAGACCAGCCTGGGCAACTTGGTGAGACCTCGTCTCTACACTAAATCACAAAATTTATTCAAGCATGATGGTGAATGTCTGTAGTTCCAGCTACTTGGAAGACTGAGACGGAATGATCGCCTAAGCCCAGCAGATTGAGGCTGCGGTAGCTGTGAGCGTGCCACTGCACTCCAGCCTGGGTGACAAAGAGTGAGACTCCCTACTCAAAAAAAAAAAAAGAGAGAGAAAAATAGACCCAAACTTTCAAAATAGTGAAGCATAATTTTTAGGCTTAACTTTATGTTGACTTTATTTTATGTTCTGATATGTGTTGGATATGATGTGAACCCCCAAAGAGTGGAGTGGAGACAGTATTAATTATATAGAGAGAATTAGCTAACCTCGCAGACTAAAAGCTGTATTTTAAGTTCTTTCTTTGTCCTTTTGGTGAAATAGGCATGGGGTAGGGAAGAACATTAGAGGAACTGGCCTGCACAAACTGCTGTAGATATGCTGATCTCCATTTCCTCAAATGGTTCTGCCCTGAAAAGATGAATTCTGAGTTCTCATGTGATACTTACTGCATCGAAATGCACTAGAACTGAGCTTTATGTAGAGTGAACATCAATGCCAATGTTAGAGTCAGTGGTGCTGATTCGGTATGGAATAGATTTGTTGTGATTATACCTTATGTGAGTGAAATGAGCATAAGTTGGATTATAGTTTCTTAGCTGCATTTTTTTTTAAAGACAAAGTCTTGGTCTGTCATACAGGCTAGAGTGTAGTGGCATGATCATAGCTCATTGCAGCCTTGACCTGGGCTCAGTGGATCTTCCCACCTCAACCTCTCCTGAGTAGCTAGGGCTACAGGTGCATGCCACCATACCCAGTAAATTTTTCAGTTTTGTGGAGAGATGGGATCTCTCGTGTTGCCAGGGCTGGTCTCAAACTCCTAGCCTGGAGTGATCCTCCCACTTTGGCTTCCCAAAGTGCTAGGGTTACAGGCATGAGCCACCACACCTGACCTACTTAGCTCTATTGACACCAAAAATTACCTGAGATTTTGGTGGTCCTGCACTCTCCTACTTTATTCTGTAGTTTACCAGTGTCGAGACAAATAAGCAAAGCTACACGAACACACACACGCGTGCGCACACACACACACTGGAAACTAGTTTAAAATGTTTTACTCTATGACAATCTAATATTTTTAGACCAGTATATTTAGGCCATTCATTTCATGATGCAAAATGGAAATATGGGATATTTAAATTCCCTTGTGGAAGTGCAATTATTTTTATTGATATGCATTTAGGTCTCTAAATCTAGAGATGTAACACTATCTAGTAGGAACACAAATAGTGAATTTAATTTTTTTTTTTTTTTTTTTTTTTACTCAGGGTCTCACTCTGTCACCCAGGCTGGAGTACGGTGGCAGGACCGCAGCTTACCACATCCTCAACTTCCTGGGCTCGGGCGACCTTCTGCCGTAGCCTCCCAAGTAGCTGGGACCACAGATGTGTGCCATCACACCAGCTAGTTTTTAATGTTTTATAAAGATGAGATATCGCTGTTTGCTAGACTGGTCTTAAAGTCCTGGGCTTACGCAGTCTTCTCGCCTTGGCCTCCCAAAGTGTTGGAATTACAGGCGTGACCAGCCTATACTGAAAATTTTTTAATGTGAATGGCATAATACGACTTTGTCCGCTCTTCTTTTCCATGTGTCACTGGAAAGCAAACAAATGGATAATACAAATGATAATCCGAAGAAGATATAAGGCAAGCTTGTCTTCCATACTATAAAAGTCTCCAAACATACTATTCTGTGCATGTATCGAGTGCCAACCATTCACCCTTTCGGATGCTGGAGAAACAAAGGTGAACAAGTAGACTTGCCCCTGTAGTTTTACATTTGAGCTGGGATGGGGGTGTGGGAGGGAACAACAGAGGGAGGCACATTACAACAAAAGAGAGAACACTATAGTGTGACTGTCGTGGGAAGAAAATGAAGCATGTAGGGAAGATGGGGAGTCAACGTATGCAGGGGAGGGGTGGGATGCTTGCGATTTTAAGTAAGGTTCTTAGGTAGGCCTCCGTGGGCGGTGGCATTTGAGCAGTCTTTCAACATCTGGGGCATGGCCGTTTCAGGCAGGCCAGCAAGTACAAGAAGCCCGAGGAGGGAGCAGGGCTGGGATGTTTCAAGAATAGCTAGGAGTTCATACATGCCAAAGTATGAACTAGGTGATCGAAATTTCCTGAGGATTTATGTTTCAGAGACTTGCTTTAGTAGAATTTCGCTATGACTGTTTAATATTAAATCGCCTTTGCATTCTTAATTATATTTCATTCTCTTAATACACTGCTGAATTCGGTTTCCTACTAGTATTTTGTCTGGGATTTTTTTCATCTATATAAAATTGGCCTGTGGTCTTTCTCACACTTGTTTGGTCTGGTTATGGTGTCAAGATGATAATAACTTCATTAAACAAGTTAGAAAATGTTGCCTGTTTTATGATTCTTTGAAAGAACTTGTAAAAGATTGGAAAGATCTGTTTGCTGAAATTTTGTAAAGCCATCTGGTCCTAGAATTTATTAGTGGGAAGAATTTTAACTACTGTGTTTCTTTAGTGGTAATTAGACTGTTATGGATTTCTATTTTTTCTTGAGTCAATTTTTCAATTGACTCAAATTTTCTAAGCATTCAGAGATATATATATATATATATATGTTTTTTTAAATTACCATAAAGTAATTTGAGGATTTTTCTTATTTTCAAGCCTCTGCTGAATATGTATATTTCCTTTTCTGATATTGATTGTATGGTGTCACTTTCTTTTTCTTGACCATTTTACCAGAAGTTTATTTTACTACTTTTTTTATTGTTTTGTTGGTCCTTTCTGCCCTTTTATGTTCTGCCTTCTGAGGGTTTATTCTGCTGTGCTTCTTATTTCATGGTTTGAATATGTATCTTGTTCTGTTCCATTTTTTCTTCTACTCTTTCTAAGCATCTAAATGTATTGGCATTATCTCCTTGCTGCCTCCCACCACTGAGTGTACATGTGTGGCACACAAACATGCATACACACACATTTTCATTGCTCTTCAGTTGCTAGTATTTTTACATTATGATTTCCTTGACCTGCTGATTACTTTAAAGTATATTCTCAAATATGCAAACTGAAGGATTTTATCAATGGGTTTTTTTAATATATTAATATCCCCATTGATAATATCAGTTTTATATTGTGTGCATCCTGATTGGATGTGCTGAAGTTACAACATTGCTTACATGATATTCCTGCCAAAAATGCACATCATGAACACAGTCAAGAAGAAATATCAAGAAAATCTAAATTGAGGAATATTCTGCAGAATTACCAGCCTATACTTGTCAAAAGTTTCAGGTGAAAGGAGGCTAAAAAGATGCGACAGCTAAACCCAAAATGTGATCTTAAATTGGATCCTGGTAAAAAAAAAAAAAAAACATTTTAAAATCTTTTGCTCTTTATAACATTTTTTAGACAACTGGTAAAATTTTAGTAAGGGCTATAAATTGATTGGTATTGTATCAATATGATTTCCTGATTTTGATAATTACATCTTGGTTACTTAAGAAAAAGTCTGTTTTTTAGAAAACACACTGTTTATGGATAAATGTATATGCAACTTAATCTCAAAAGGCTTAGAAAAAAATAGTATAAAGAGAAAATGGTAGGGCAAATGTGGTAGAATGTTAACATTTGGAAGATCTGGATGAAGGTACTTGTGAATTCTCTGTGCTGTTTGCAAATTACTGTAAATCTGGGATTTTTAAAAATAGAAAGTTAAAAAAATAGCTTTTGTTATTGGTCGTAACTAATTGCATGTGGTCAAAGAACACAGGAGTATGACAAAACTTGGGCAAATTATTATAGCCTTTCTCTGCCTCCGCTTTGCCATCTGAAAAAATGGAAATCGCACCTATCTCACAGATCGCCGTGAGAGTAAATGAACACATCTAACATACGGAGAACTCATCCTAGCACTAAGTATACATATACACATACACATATGTTGTAGTAATAGGCTAAATAATGGCACCCAAGGACATCAGGTTCTAATCCTTGAATCCTGTAGATGTTACCTTACCTGGAAAAAGGGTCTTTGCAGTTGTTAATTTAAGGATCTTGAGATGGGGAGATTTTCTTGGATTATCCAAATGGGCCCTAAGTGCAATCACAAGTGTCTTTGATAAGAGAGGCAGGGAGATTCCAGACAGAAGAGAAGAAGGCAGCGTGACCGCAGAGGCAGAGCCTGGAGTGATGCAG